CGTAACTGTTTTTGTTATTTTGATCGTTTCCATTGCCTTCAGTGGGCGACCTCCCTCCCTCCCTCCTCCTTCCTGGATTGGGCTGTACGGGAAGCGAGGGCGTGTGTGTGTGTGCTGGTCGTCCCACCTGCTGCTGCGCGTCCCCACTGCTCGGTGGATGCGCCCACGCTTCGGCTTCACTTCACGGGGTTTACGTTTGATGTTTCTCCGTTTGTTTGTTTGTGGTTTTGCTTTGATTGACTGCGCGCATTCCGCGGGCTGCACATTTCTGTCTCGCCGTGCGCTTTCCGGCGTGTTATGTTTTCTCTCTTCTTCTTTTGTTTTGTTTTTGCTTGCCGCCTCGTAGATCTGCCAACTGCTCCCAGCGACTTTGCTGCCACCACCACCACAAACACTGCGACGGATGACGATGGCGACGGTGCGGCGCCGTGCGGTGTGGGCCCTGGCGGTCCTTGCGCTGCTGTGCGGCAGCTGCTGCCTCGTGTGCGGGGCGGCGACGGCGGCGGCTGAGCAGCCTTCAGTGGGGTGCAATGTGAAGTTGCCGGTGGAGGTTGCTTGTGGGCGGGTGAGTGGAAATAATTTGAAACTTCGAGTGCGTGGCGGTGTTGCGTGGGTTGTGTGCGCGTTGGACGATGAAGATCGTGCTGCGTTGCGCAACACAAGTCACGTTCTTGCTGCGTGGAAGGAGGCGGGGCATGCCGTTGTTGGCTCCGAGGCGAAATTGTGTGGCGCCACTGGGGACCACAATGAAACTGTTTGCATCGTGGCCGAGTTTATCTACGCATCGCACAGCTGCGCTACCAGCTGCGAAGGAAAAGCAGAGGAGACCGTTGCCTTCACGATGAACCTTGCCGACGACGAAGGCAGTGATCTGCACAAGAGACTGCGGGAAGCAACTGGAGCTGCGGGAGCTGAGACGCCAAATGGAGAGAGCCGCAGTGTTTCGGGCGAGACGGGCGTCTGTCCGCTAACAACACCCCACGAGGGGGCCAATGGCAGGGACGGTGCTCCTGCAGCCGGCACAGGCAGCGCCGCATCTGCCACTGCCACTGTCGCTGGGAAACACGCCTCCAACAAGACGGACAGCAGTTACACCACCACGACGTTTTTGCCTACACCTCTGCTGCTGCCGCTGCTTGTGGCTGCCGTTGCCTGCGCTGCTGGGCGGTGGTGAGGAGATCCACACGCACACACACACCCTGGCGGGGGCGACGCATACTTTTTGTGCGTCCGGTTTGCCTCTCGTCTGTGTGAGCGAACGTCTTTCATGTGCTGTGAGGGATGTCTTTTTTCATTTTATTTTTATCTCTTTTAGTTTTTGGAAAAATCCGCATGGGCGTATTTTTCTTCTGCTCTTCTCCGTTCAACTGTTCTTCACTGCGCTCTCTTTTTGGGGTGCCGTGTGCGTCTCGCTTGACCGCTGCTCTCACACCCACAGACACGCGGACGAGGCAGGCCTTATTTTGGGCCTCGCCTGCTGTGCGCAGGAGGCGGAGGGCAGCGGCAAACTGCACACCGAAGGCCCCGTCGCGTATGTGGGCGTTGATTTGTTTTTTGCTTTCAACGCGTCGCTGCCGTCGTGCTTGGCTGCATGGGTAAAGCAGCGTAACCGTTTTTGTTATTTTGATCGTTTCCATTGCTTTCAGTGGGCGACCTCCCTCCCTCCCTCCTCCTTCCTGGATTGGGCTGTACGGGAAGCGAGGGCGTGTGTGTGTGTGCTGGTCGTCCCACCTGCTGCTGCGCGTCCCCACTGCTCGGTGGATGCGCCCACGCTTCGGCTTCACTTCACGGGGTTTACGTTTGATGTTTCTCCGTTTGTTTGTTTGTGGTTTTGCTTTGATTGACTGCGCGCATTCCGCGGGCTGCACATTTCTGTCTCGCCGTGCGCTTTCCGGCGTGTTATGTTTTCTCTTCTTCTTCTTTTGTTTTGTTTTTGCTTGCCGCCTCGTAGATCTGCCAACTGCTCCCAGCGACTTTGCTGCCACCACCACCACAAACACTGCGACGGATGACGATGGCGACGGTGCGGCGCCGTGCGGTG